CCCTCCCCTCACCTCCCCACCTTACCCAAACCTTCCCCAAACCTCATGAGGTGCAATGATGCAGCTCGGCAGCCAGCCAGCACCATACTTACGGGGTCCTCTAGGTCGAGAGACGGGTGCAGGATGAGGGCGTACCGGCCGTGGTTGGTGTATAGCGTGTCCTGGTTGTTGTACACGCTGCCCTGGACACGAGAGTACAGCATGCAGTCAGGCAACACGGGGAGGGAGACAATACAGGAGGGGTCGAGCGTGGAACGGACCGCCCACGGTCAGGGCACAAAAGATTGTTCGGCCCGTGACTAAAAATACAGGGTTGAGTGACTAGCTAGGGACACGGGACACGGGAGTGTGCTGGATTTTCGTGATTCAGAGGGGAGAACTGTGTTGGCTTATCGACTTATTCCTCACTCTGAACTCCGCTCAACTCTCATGTCTCTACCGTATACCATCGACCAAGCATCTACTTCAAAACTTCACAACACGACACGAACGACTTGAGTCAATAATAATTCACGATTTTGATTTACTTCCCAACGATGAATATCAAGTGGCTGATTTGCCCCACCTACACCCAAGTAGACTGTATATCTTCAGCACGCGAACGTGTGGTATAATATATGAATCTAGTAATGTGGGTGGGGTGAATCAACCACCTGGTACAAACTACATTATTGCTGTCCACAAGGAGAGAGTAATTTTCTCAAGTTCACTCCCATCTACGAGTTACCATGCCATGTGCTCATGTCATGCTTATACAAAAATAAAAATCGATTAGATACCAAAGCCTTCAGACGCAAGTTTGGGTGACGCACGACAATGTATTTGCCGTGATTTTTCCATGTCTCGTTGAAAGTGTACACGCTCGCCTGCGAGGAGGAACGTAGATGACACAACTAACTTCGGACTGCGCCCAGTACCTTGATCGAGAGGCGCCATGGGGAGGCCCTCAGTCCGACAGTAGAAGGGAGGGTGTGCCCCCCAGGTGGAGCACGTTCGTCAAAATATGCCGTGTTCAGTGGTTAGATTCAGGGGTCATTTTGACGTCAAAAGAGGATCATTGGAAGGCCTTTGACGACTGTGTTCCACCTGACTGTAGGCGTCGTAGAGTGGAGTGGGTGTATCACCTTGAGCAGCTGCCAGCACCCATCCGCGGCGGGGTGGTATGCGCCGTAGCGCCTGGCTGCGTACCGCGAGAACCTGGTGGGGAAGAAGGGGGTGGTGGCTGACGTTTGGCTGGGTGGTGGTGAGCACAACGTGGCAGAGCACATGCTGCTGGCCGGGCGACGACCCGCGTCCCGCGTCCCGCCCGCGGCTGTCTGGCTGGGACGCGTCCCGCCGGTCCCGTCCCACCGCGCTACGCTGATGACGTCACCAGGTGAGCCGGTGGCGCGCGCGGAGTAAGGTACTCACCACTCGGTGAGGTTGGCGGGCTTGGCGCGCCACGCCAGCTCGTTGGCCAGGTCGTACATGACGTAGTTCTGGCCGGTGCCCTCCATGGTGAGCCCGGTGCCGACCATGGTGCTGTTGGCCAGGGCCCGCGCCTCGAACACGTTCTGCGGAGAGGGACAGTGACAGGTCGACAGGTCATCGCAGGTCGCCTCGCAGCGGGCGGCAGCCGCGCCGCGGTACCACGGCCATATCTCGCCGGGCTCACCCTGTTGACGTAGTTGGAGGCGCCGTACATCCCGAGGGTGCCGCCAAAGTTGTGCAGCATGCACCACACGAACGGCTGGCCGTAGTACGAGGGGAAGCGGCGGTACTGCGGCAGCAGCTCCGCCATGAGGTCCAACACCAACATCCGGCCCTGTGCAGGTCACGCGTGTGAGCCAGGCATAAGTCACGTGTTCGTGACGTGGTCGTCCGCGGTGCAGGGCGGGGACCGCCCAGCAGCCTTACCGTCGGCACCGAGGTGAGCAGCGCCTTGGCCCTAGGCTCGGTCCAAAACGCGTCGTGGACGAACAGCCAGTTCTGAATCATCCTGCAAAAAGGATAGACGAACGCAGGGACGTACAGAGTGTTCGGTAGGCCCCTTCCTTTATTTTGCTTACTGTGTGCCGCATGCAAGAGTGCGGGCGGGCTTGCATACCGTCGCTCACCACAGTGCCTTACGGCTCCGTGTGAGTATGCAAACCCTCCGCACGCCTGCATGCGGTACAGTATAAAGCTAAATAAAGGAAGGTGCCTGTGGACCACCCCTGTATGAGTCGGGGGAAGGACGCCGATGAGAAACCCGGCTCGGCCGCCGGCCGCCGCGGAACCAACCAGACAGCCTCGGGGTCCACGTCGACCAGGGAGTCGTACACGGCGCGGCCCACCCGGGCGAGGTACTCGGGCCGGCCGTCCGACGGCTGCATCTCGTTAAAGGTGTCGCTGTTGTAGATGTGGTCCGTGCCGAACTCGGCTATCAGCTATTGTCGGGTGAAACAAAAAGAGAAGGAAACGGGGGTATAGCAGGGAAAGTATGGAACACTTCGTGCGAAACAAAATCAAGGCGTCTGTGGGATGCGTACCTCCCTCATGAAGAGAGTGCCCACCCTGTGGAAGACGGGGTCCGTGGGGTCCAGCAGGAGCGGGCTGCAAACGCGACAGAAGGGTGACGTGAGACGTGAGACGGTGGGCTGGTCGGCGATGGGAGCCGTTGGGTGCACACTCACCAGCAGTACTCGTCCGGGAAGCGATTCCACCTCTGCAGCGGGGTGGTTGTCGAGTTGGGAAACAGTCTGCAATGTAATATACATAACAGGTGGCTGATTAAGCCCGCTCACTGTACTGTACAACATTCCTCCGTAACGCGGGCGTTTGCCTACTCGCACATTCCCCTAAGGGATCATCAAAAAAAAAAGTACGTCCGCTGGTACGAAACTTCCAAGGTTATATAGCCTTTGCTCGCCTCACTACTGCTACTCGTAGCGCTTGATGGGTAGGCAACATCGTCCCTGCAGTGCATGTGTGTACTCCGGGGTAGCCTATCCCGAGTCTCGCAGGCTGGTACGAAACTTCCAAGTTTAGCCTTTGCTCGCCTCACTTCTGCTACTCGTAGCGCTTGATGGGTAGGCAACATCGTCCCTGCAGTGCATGTGTGTACTCCGGGGTAGCCTATCCCGAGTCTCGCAGGCTGGTACGAAACTTCCAAGTTTAGCCTTTGCTCGCCTCACTTCTGCTACTCGTAGCGCTTGATGGGTAGGCAACATCGTCCCTGCAGTGCATGTGTGTACTCCGGGGTGGCCTACCCCGAGTCTCGCAGGCACCGCGGTCCCGTCATTTGCTGAATGAATCTGAGAGCTCGTCTGAGAGAAACGGACGTACTTTCTGGACGATCCCTAGTCAGGCAAGCTAAGCGAGCCCGCCCGCGTGCGGATGGTGAGCGCTGACCTCTGGAAGCCCCTGGGCACGTGGCCGGCGAAGGCGGGCAGCACGGCGACGATGCCGAGCGCGCGCATGCGGTCCAGGATGCGGTGCTGCAGCAGGCGCGAGTGCGCGTGCCAGGAGGCGGACAGCGGCCCGGCCCAGCCGCGGACGTTGCCCATGCGCTGCCTGCGGGTCAGATTTTCATGCTTATTATCTTTGCAGAAAACAGCAGCTCCTGAAGGACGGATTCCCGCAAACTCTCTGTTCACGGTCCCCATCCCCATTTATTGTTTTAAGTGGCTACGACTTTTACGTGTTTTTATGCCAACAGTCTGGCCCGCATGTGTGCGGGCGTCATGCGGGGTCCGTGGCCGCCGGGGCCCCGCGTGCGCACACACGTCGGCTTATCATAGTAGGTCCCACCCAAGGTGGCTGCTGCGCCGCCGGCTGCATGCAGGGCTCCCCGCGTGGGTGCGGGAACATTTGCATGACGGATAAGGATATCCGTCCGGTCGCCCTGCGCCGTCGGCCGCCCTGCGCTCACTCACCAGGCGAGGAAGGCGGGTCCGGTGAAGTGGTGGTCCACGTCCTCCTTGGACAGGCCCAGCTGCGAGTAGACGCGCTGCCAGACGGCCTCCTGGCCGGTGAAGGCCAGCGCCATGTTGATGCCGTTGAGCGCCATCCAGTCCAGCTCGCGCTCCCAGCGCGCCCAGTCCCACCACACGAACGAGTAGCTCACCGTGCACACGTTCTGGTAGTAGCGGTACCTGCATCAAGGGGGAGGAGGGCGGCCGTCACTAGGGCTCTGCCGCCGCGTGCAGTGAGCAGTGAGCACACACGCGCAGGCCCCACCTGTCGACGGCCGTGACCGTCATGTTGACGTCTGGCAGCGGGTCCGGCAGGGCGAGCTGGTCGTAGTCCCAGGACACGTGGCAGCCGCACACCTGCGTCAGGTAGTGGTGCAGCCCCCAGGCCGCGGCCACCCCGCTGTTGCCCGTGATGTTGACGTACGCGCGGCCGGGCTCCTTCACCACCTGCGGTTGGCAATCACACGCCCGTAGAGCACCAGCCACCAGCCCCGCGCCCTCCACTTTATTGGTCCCTTCGCCTCCGACGGATTTGGCGAGATTTATTGAGGAGCGAGCCATATGGCGCCGCGGGTCGCGGGGCGTCGCAGATCGGGGAACGTCGTCGAAACGGAAGGCCGATGTAAAATATTTACTTAAAAAATTCCAGCGGCCGCTCACGTATACACATCAATTATGTCCCCCTCTCATCACGTCCTTTCAAAAGTCGATACGCCTGTTGTCTTTAACCGGGCCGCTCATCTTGTTCCAGCACGATCCGGAACGGACGCCGACCTTTGTGTAGGCAGGCCTTGTACCCCTCCCCCTCCCCCACAACCCATCCCCCCTCTCTCTCTCTCTCTCTCTCTCTCTCTCTCTCTCTCTCTCTCTCTCTCTCTCAGAGATACGCGACTTCGACGGGCTGACCGCTGTCCGTTCTGCCTCTGGGCTGTAGTACTGGGCTGGGCATCGATCCAATGTGTGGCGTATGCATTATCCAATCCGGCCGGGCGGGGCGGGGCGGGGCAGGGCGGCCGGTCGCGGGCAGCACGCCAGCCAGCAGGCCCGGCAGGCCCGGCCGGGGGCACACAGGGCCCCGAACTAACCTACCCTCCCGACCCCGCCGTGCCCGGCCCGGCCGTGTCCTTTAGGGTCCGGCTCTGCAATAAGTGGCGTGCCGCCCGCGTCCCGCCCGCGGCCCTGGCAGCCCGCACGACACGCGTGACGGCCGGGACGGCTCGCCCAGCGCCCGGACGCGGCCTGGCCTGGACACCGACCAAAGAGACCGCCAAGAAAGGACGCCCGCTTTCCTCAGGAGGGACACGGAGCACGGCGCCTGCGAGACTCGGGGTAGGCAAACCCGCAGTACACTCACGCACTGCAGGCAAGATGTTGCCTACCCGTCAGGCGCTATGAGAGCTTGCACAGGCTGAGGCCGAACTTGGCTGTTTCGTGACGGCATGGCAGAAACCGGGCGAGGATGATCACAAAGACCCTTTAACTTGTTGTCGACGTCGATGCTCACCCTGAAGGTGTCCCTGTGGGCGTGCGGGGGAGCACCGTCCGGCTCCACGGCCACGCCGAACAGGTGCGCCCGCCGCGGCAGCAGCCTTCCCAGCAGCGCCTGCACCGCCAGGCTCTGCTCGCGGGCCGGGGCGCGGCTGCGCACCGCATCGAACAGGTGGCGGGCGTGCGGGGGCACGCCGTGCGGCACGCGGTGCACTGCGAGAAACCAAAACAAAACAAAAAACAATGCTGTAATATTGGATGTGCGCCGAGTGGGTATTCCCCCCTCTTCCCCCGACATGTATTGTTCGTGCCGTTGGGTGCGTGTAGCTCAGCTGCTGCAGTAGCGGAGCGGGGTCACGTCACGTGGACGGGGTGGGGTGGGGGCGGGGTGAAGCGGGGTATGGTGGGCACGGCTGCGCTGCAGCGGGCGTGGCGCGTGACCCGGCACAGGTGAGAAGAAGCGTGCGTAGAAGGGTACGGCGACGCCTTTAACACCGCCTTCCGCCGAGTGGGCGTCCGGCAGTCCAAACGCCAAACCAGTTCCGCGCGTGAGGGCCCTGCCTGCCCCACCAGCCCCGCCAGCCCCGCGCCAGCCCCACCAGCCCCACCAGCCCCGCCAGCCCCGCCAGCCCCGCCAGCCCCCGATGTTACACAGGCCATTATCTCTCGTTAACCCCTCGCCGCATGTGAGCCGGTAAAGAGAGGGACGGAATCGTAACGAGTACTGTGAAGTGGGTGAGGCATCGGCCGGGCTGGTGGGCTCTACTGCCGGCGAGAGGGCCGCGGACCTTATCTTATCCGAGCCGCGCGCGGACTTCCCCGATAGTCAGTGAGGCGGGGCGTGGCGGGGAGTGGCGGGGCGTGGCGGGGCATGGCGGGGCGTGACGTCACTCACCGCGAATCGCGAACCCGCGCCACAGCCCGCCCGACCCCGCCCAGAGAGCGGCGACCGTCCGAACTCACCTCTGCGAGAGAGCTCGTCGCGCTAAGGACATGACTGACATCATCGCCCACAACAACAAATCCCCCCTCCCCCTCCCGCTCTTTTCCTCCTCCCCCCACGGAAGCGTCTCCCGGTTCTGCGTCCCCCCCGTTCCCCCCGGACACGCGCCAGCATGTTATCCTCTCCTGGTGATCCTTTCCTCTCCTCCACCCCAGCGGTGTGGACGTGACGCCGGGCGCCGTTCCGCGCTGGGCCCTCCTGCAGGGCGTGGGCGGCCTCTCACACAGAAGGCGCAGCCTCACCACGCAGATGGGCCGGGGCCGGATGCTGAAGACAGTCTGTGAAAGGTCAAGCGCCACTCGAAGGCCTGAGATCCTGATCGCTCGCCAGAGGCAGGCCGCCCGGCTAGATCGAGCCAGCCGGCCACTTTGCCGCCGGCCGCGACGGCGACCCGCGAGCGCCGGCGGCGGCCGCATGGCACCTGCGATTCGATAATACTCCATGGCAATCTCGACTGCTGAGAGCCCTTATCCTGTCACGGTCACCACCCCGCAGAGCCGCCTGGGCCACCACGGGAGACTTTCGATACTGCTTCTCTTGTAAAGATTCGATCTGGCATTCTGCTGTAGTGCTGAGCAGACCCCACTTACACCCATCCCCCCCTCTCTCTGTCTCTCTCTCGCGCTCTCTCTGTCTGTCTCTCACACGCGCGCGCTCCCTCTGCCTCCTCCTCCTCTGCAGAGCAGAGAGCTGGGCCCTCTCTGGTATCGACCCGCGGTATGTGGGGGTTGGGCAGGGCAGGGTGCGAGAGGAGAGGGGAGAGAGAGAGAGAGGGAGAGGAGCGAGCAGCGAGCAGCGCGCATTAAAAGAGAGGAGGGAGGGGGGAGAAAGAGAGGGATGGAGGAGGGGGGTGGGAGGCGCGGGGTGTTTACATTCCGCTCACGGGGTGGTGTCTGCAGCAGCGGGCTGTGCTCTCCCTCGGCTCGCCGCTCCCGACGCGCGTCGAGACGCGTGCAGCTCACGAGACACCGCGTTGAGGGCCTCCTCGTCGCGTCGCTGCGAGAGCAAAAATAAAAATAAATGAAGAACATTATCTGCGGGTCGGTCGATTTTCTTCTCGGGAGCGTATCATCTCTTCTGCCCGAGCTGTACCGAGTGGCGCAGACTCGCTCAGACTCGCTCTCCTAACGACCTTTCGCCTCTTCCACTCCCATACCGGCCATAAATACCCACTTGGAATTAAGAACCGAACCGCGCCGCGCCGCTCCACTCCGCGAACATCATCGCTGCGGATGCGGAGGTATAATCTGTAAAACCTGAAGCGGTCGTGGAAGTGCCGGCCGCGCGACGAGCGCAACGCTCGTGAAGGCCGCCCGGTCACCCACAACACGCCAGACTCGGACCGGACGGCTGTTTCAATCATCCTATTCCTCGGCTCCGGTCTGGATGGGGACAAAGAGACTATAGTAAACGCGCGCCGATTTGTGTGCGTGTGCTCGGTGATAACACATGATGCGTGCAACGTGTGTGCCTCCCCGGCGGCGTCACGAGCATGAGCGTACGACGGGCTGCGGCGTTAGCCGGCGTTGGCCGGTACACACTGGCTGCGCCCAACGCACGTGCTAACAGACGCCAATTTCACACTCTTTAGCGGAAGGGCGACCCCCGCGAGTGCGAAACGTGACAGTCGTCGAAGAACGCCGCCGCGTCGGTCGTTTCTTCTCTGGGCTGTGCCGTCGCTGTCGCCGTCTTCTTCACGCGCGGCTGTTCGGCGGGTCGGCCTACCCGGCGCGCGGCAGGCGCCATGGATGGAATGCAGTGTGCAAGCCTTCGCGTGCGACTGTCTGGCTGGTGAACAGGGAGGGGGGGGGGGCTATCCTTCCCGAAGCACAGCGTCGCCGTGCCCGTGCCCATCCCGGTGGTGCCCGTCTCTAGTCCAGCCGCACCGGCTCCATCGCCCCGGTACGATTCCGATTCTGGCGCTGAGTCAGCCGTCCAAAGAGACAATGCGACGCAACACGCCCGCCGACCTGTGGCAGCCGCAGCCGCACCTGCTAATAGTGCTGACGTTCCGCGGACCAAAACTAAACTCCCAATGCCTCTTGTATCATCTCTCCGCGAAGCGAGCGACACTTCCCGAGACGGGGACGAGAAATTGGATTATCCCACACGCGCCCAGCACTACGCACCCCAAAATTTGCAAATTTTCCACATTTCTCGCCCAGCAACAATGTTTTTTTGTTTTTTTTTGTAATACTTAAAAAGATCGTTTTTCAACAGAACGTGTTTAACAGTGCGATCCTTTCACTTCTGGCCGAAGCCTTATTGCAGGCGTTGTTGAATCCCCCCTTCGTCCCTTGTTGTACTCCACCCACACGTGTTATATTTCCCCTTTCGAAGCCCGGCCCGGGTGCCGCCGCCAGGCCGCCGCCGCCGGCCGCTGCTCTGGGGGTCAATCCTACCACGCGCCCTTCACCTGGTCCGCGCCTCGGCCTTGCTCCCTGCGAAGCCCTACAGAGCGAGAGGCGGACGCTTGCCGCCGAGCCGGCCGCGGTACCCGCGCCCTCGCGCCCTCCCTCCCTATTCCCCGCCTTGTCCCGCGCGTACGACGCGGAAGACGATACCAACGCCTGGAAATTTAAACGACGATGCATGGTCCGAAATACGGCCCACTTCCTGAACTTTGCTCACTTGACTCTTGGCGGTGCATTGCACGATGTTGGCAACGAACACGTAAAGCCGTAACGGCGGTGGCTTATTTGATGGCTTTCACAGTGCCTTTGGTGGCTTTTGCCAGTTAGCCATCAACAGAAATAACAGTGTGGACGCGCCTCACACCTTTGTGAGGTGAGATGATGACACGGCTTTTCGGGCGCTCCTTCATCGTGACTTTTAGGACGCCAGGCAACCGCCGCAGGGGTAGGCAATTTGCGTTGCAATCCACCTGTAAGCTGGCAAAACGCATGCACGAGTTCTCTCTCCTCGTGCGGGTATAGCACCTTTCCGTAAGATTATTGAACTCTCCCGGTACACGTGCGTTCTCCGGGCGCAGCCCTTTGCGGAGCCTTGCCCTCTCCTTCAGGGTCGTCTGGCTCGTAGTCGCTTGGGTGGTGGTGGCGGTGGTGGAGGAGGTGGTGGTTGGTAGTGGTGGAAGGAGCAGGGGGAGGGGCGTTCAAAGTGGCGCGTCTTGGCGCAAAGTTACTCAATGGGTCCCTTGCTGCAGGGGTGGGGGGGGTGGTGTTGACGCCGAGGGGCGGCCGGCAGTCCGCGGAATGGCGGAAGGGAATCGAGGGGAGAGAGGGGGGGAAGGGGGAGGCGCGTGCTGTTCGCGCGGGAGGGGCCTGGCCTGGCCCGAGCATGGGCCGAGCCCGAGCGCCCCGGGTAGCAAGCGTAGCAAGCCAAACCGCTGGCCGCCGGGCTGCGCGCGCGGCGTGGCGCGGCGCGGCGCGGCGCGGCCCGGCCAAAGGTCAAACAGAGCCGGCCAATATGCCGAGGGAGCTGCTCAATGAGCGGTCCACATCAGACACCACACCAGCTGGCACCAGCGCCTCCCGCCTCGGCGACAGGCTCGGCAGCTGGTCTGACGCGTGATTCTGTGGCCCCTCCGGAGCCGTGCCGGAGCGTGATAAGAGAACGCGAGGACCGCGCGAGCCGCGGGTCGGCCTCGGCGGGGGAAGTCGCGCGGCGGCCGGGCCGGGCCGGGGGAGGGCATCGGCAGCGGCTTAGATCACAGAGAACAGCAGGTCAGGTCTCACCGTCGTCGTCGAGCTCCACAGCCTCCCCGACAAGGACCAGGGCCAGGATCAGGGCGGCGACGTGGAGGGCAGGTCGCGCGGCTGAGCCCGCGCGGGCCGCGTCCAGGGCAGCCATGCCTCTCGGAAACTCTGCAAACCGACTGTGTACTCAGACTGGGATCATTTCGGGCGGCTCGCCACGGCGAAGACTGCTGGGCTGGGGCTGGGGCTGGGCTGGCAGGCTCTCGCCCGAGCGGTGTCCAGTCGGCTGGCGCACCACCGCACCACCCCAACGGCCGCGGTACAGCGCGCAGGGATGCTGGGGCGGGAGGGAGGTGCAGGGCGTGGGGCGGGCGGGGCCTGTGGCAGTCGTGTCCGATAGTGCGCGGACTCATGCCTCTTCTGCTCTCATGGATGAGCGGGCCAAGTGCCCCCCCCCCCCCCACGCAAGTAAAGCCCGAACTAGAGACTACTAACCCTACCACTGAACGTCATTCCGTTTCAACTCTTGAGCTATGTTACACCTATGCTAGGCTATAGCCCCTACTCATACCCGTTTGTATCATTTATAATCGCGCTGTGGTACTACCCTTAGGCGAGTGTCGCCGACTGATATGCAGGCAGGTTGAACGGGACGGTACTTCCCCGATAGCTGTCCAATACGCATCACCGAAATGCGGAAGGCAAGGGGACGGCGGCGTTCCTTCAATTATTTGAAAAAATTAGAAAACATCCTAAGTAGAATTATTTTTATGTTTAGGTGTTTTTGCTTTTCCCACCTTCCCCAACCCAATCTTATCTGGTCCGCTCAGGCGATCGTCAAATAGCAGCTGGATTACTGTCCACTTCAGCAGCTCGAAGTATCGATTAAGTTATGCGTCATGGCCAAAACTTCAGTGGCCCGTATGGCCATATGACTGCCACCGACAAATAATAAAATATGTCATCGAAACACATGCGTGTTTTTACAATATATAATTTGTGACATTTGCCGTGCTACGCCCGCGCGCTTGCGTGTCCGCGCGCCACGCACGCGGTGCGCAGTTCCGCAGTTCCCTTCCGCTGGTCGCTTTTGTGGTCGGCAGCAAGCGGCGCACTGGCGCCCCACTGTGGAACGCGCCCGCCGCGCGAACGTCTGCTGAGTAAACATCCATGTGGCAGTGAAGTTCGATCAAGTCTGCTATGGCAGTAATGGATTCCTCGATGTGACAAAAATGGAAAACAAATCCCATTGTATTCAAAGTGTACTTATTTTCCGTGTGTTTTGTGTAGAAAAATAACGGTACTATATGTCAACCATCAACGAATATGCCAACAAAAGTGTCCAAAAAGGTTGCAGGCATGATAATAAGAAGTAGGAAGACCATACTAAAGGACGGAGTAATGACGGTGAGTTTGGGCTTTCAGGCCTCCGTAATCTGTATTTTTGTTAACATTAGTTTAAAAAAAGAGCGGTTTCATCTCCAGAGAGTCCTATGGCATTCCTTAATATTCCCCTTCCTGTCGGTAAATGTCATAGTAATGTGACATCAGGCAAGCTGTCGAATCTGCCTCCATGACCACGGGTACAGACATTTAGGCTGTGCGTGATTCATATGTATACACTACTTAATTTTAAAATGTATCCTCTATTGTCTGTATTTTTGTATTGACCGTATCGACGTTTGTTTGTCGTTTGACCAACTTTCCAGAAAATAGTGTTGGTTACACTTTCTTGTCTTTTGTTGGTTCAGTGCCTGTGACCCCCTGTCAAGCTGCATGAAAGTTTGTTCTCACATGCATGTCAATACTGATAAACAGAGAAATTGTTTGTACTCAACTATTCAAGCACACAGTTGCTTTTGTATTTTTGTTTGGTTTTGTTTTTGTTGCATTTACGTTTCTAGCATTGTTACGATCGTCATTTCCTGTTGTTTTCAAACAAGTGCTCCCGATTATTGTTGAAGTTTTTTGTATGTTTTTTTTTAAATAAAAGAGATCCAATATAAACATTATATTCACATTTTCCTAA